TGCTCTGAACCTGTTGAGGCTTGAGGCGAAGGATTGGTGGAGATTGACCACGGGGTCATATTCAGATGCATAGGGGGCTGCAGTTTCATGGGATTAGTTCCGAGAGATGTTTAGCACTCGTTATGTTCCGCGAGTTGAGAGGGAGAGATTGGCTTAAGAGTTTGTTGAGCTGAAGCAGGATTCGGAGTCGGTGACGGAGATCACCAGGATGTTCACTGAGAGGGCGATGTTTTGCCTCGAGTTTGCTTCGGAGCAGGCTCAGATGTCCCAATATCTGAGTATGCTCAAGAGGGATATCAGACAGTTTGTGTCTACGCAGAGGTGCGAGACCTTGTTAGAGTTGCAGGAGGCCGCCAGGCGGCGTGAGTTGGAGATTGAGTTGCAGTTACGAGAGTAGAGGTAGGCTTCGGTGCAGTCGCAGCCGGCGCCGAAACGGTCTAAGACCATTGATTCTAGATTGGGAGATTAGAGTAGCCACACTTGTGGGAAGTGTGGGAAAGGTCACACCGGAGTTTGTCGGTCTGGTGGTCCGTGCTGCAAGTGAGGAAAGGAGGGGCACTACACGAGGGATTGTCGGCAGGAAGTCCCGGGTCGGGATTTGAGGATTTGTTATCATTGTCATTAGGTCGGGCACTTGAGGGTCAACTGTCCACAGCTTGTTGCGGGACCGGTGCAGGCTCCAGCACCGGCCACATTGAGGATCACGGGTGGAGGTCAGGGTGGAGCGGAGCCCCCAAGGGCTCAGGGTCGTGCTTTCCAGCTTACAGCGGAGGAGGTCAGGGCAGTGCCGGAGGCAGCTGCGGGTATGTTTCTTCTTGATGTCTTATTATTTTATGATTATTGTGGAGTATTGTTTATCTGCTAGTCTCGTTGTGTGGTTTTCGATTCTGTATTCTTTGATTTTGAGGGTTATGGCATGGTTATGGGTTTAGTGTTGGGAATTTTGTTAGTTATCATTCACGACGATTATTAGTAGGAATCGGGTGTTTGGTCTGAATATCGAGTAACATTTGCAGTTTGAGGAGTGGTTAGCTGAAGATCGAGTTTCTTTCATGCCCGGGATGATCAGTATTGATATGCGATTGGTGAAGGTTGCTCGTGTTAGTGGGAATCAGTTCGCGTGTAAGAGTATGTGTCGTGAAGGGTTGTTGAGGGAGGTCGGTGATGGCGACCGGTGGTTGATAGTCATTGCTCTAAGTGGGGGAGAATTGGAGAATTCTCTAGAAGATCGGTGAGCATGAGAGTTTGTTTAGCTGTGTGGGACTCAACAGTGTTTCGGTCAGCCAAAAGAGTAGGCTGGTATGAGTAAGTGGCAGGTGTGTGGGGCGGGATACAGACCAAGGGTGATTGATTATGGAAGGCCTGGGATCAGGCCGGGACTGAGTATATATGATGGAGGTAGAGTTCGGAACCCCTAGAGGGTTAGAACAGTATGCGTGGGAGGAGTTTCCCAAAGGAGTAACTCAGAATGTTGATTGCTAGTTGAGCGGTCCGGATAGACTGAAGGTCGGTAGGCATACCAGTCAGGCCGAAGGCTCGGAGAACGGTCCAGCCAGGCTGAATGCCCTGGAGGGCGGTCCAGACTGCTGAAGGTTCTGAGAGTGGTCCGGTTTGGCTGAAGGCCTGGTAATGCGGTCCAGTCATGCTGAAGACTCTGCTTGTGTCGTTAGAACGGTGCGAGGAAATGGATTGAGTATGTCGTGATATGTTAGCATTAGAAGGTCTGGCCCTGGGTATTGATCATGATGGGAAGTCGAGCATGGACTTGAGAGTCTTCGCGAGTGGATTCAGAGTATGTGTGGTGCATGGGATAGCGGTTATGCCATCAGGAAATGGTGTAGTATTGGGTGAGCACCTTGGCACTTGTGGTAGTGTCAAGGCAGCCAAGTGGATCTCCTTGGTAAGGAAAAAAGGAAAGGAATGTAGCTCTGAGAGGGAATGTAAGTCACGGAAGTGAAAACCGTAGTGCGAAGTTACGATTGGGGTGTTCCAATTATGGTAATTGCGCAGCATGTGTGCGACGGTGGTATGGAATCACATCCGGTTTGGATGTCTGCCAAGGTCACGGAAGAAATTCCGAGGGTGTAAAGTCAAGAGGCTCGTAAGGGATGCATGGATGGAGTCTTGGATTCCCAGCTTGATTTCGGTGAAGGAATTATGTATGTAGTGATAATTCATCCTGGGGGATGTTTGGAAGTATCGTCAGTGTATCGGGTTTTCCCAACCCGAGGATGCTAGAGCCAGTTTAGCATGGGTAAGAGATTGTGGAGGAGAACTCATGGGAGTTGCTCTGAAACTGAAGGATGTGTCCTTCTGTCAACCTGGAGTGGATAAGGTTGAATTCAAACTCGGATTCTGGTGGTTCAGGGATTATTGTGAATTGGAGCGAGCAAAGTATCACAGAGTGGTACTCAGTGGTTAGGTGTGGTTATCAGAGGATGAGGCCGGTGGCTGGTTTGAAGCGGGGGTCAGAACACCGCAAGAAAAGAGAAATTTGGGTTTCGGGTTTCGATGGCTGTGTTTTGAGGAATTTGGTCTGGTTAATGCCAGGAGGTGCATAGCGAGAGTAGTTCTGGAGTTGTGTTGCCGCAGGCTTCGAGGATGAAGCCTAATTTAAGTGGGGGAGAATTGTAACATCCCGAGTTCATGAGTGCAAGTTCAGGGTTCAAAGTGGAAATATGAAAGGGCAACTCGGCGAGTCCATGGGTGGACTTGGCGAGTAGGGTCGTGACTCTGGTCGCGTGTTAAGTGGCCAACTCGGCAAGTCGGAGGCTGGACTCGGCGACTAGGCGCTAAGTGAAGAAAACCCTAATTTCGGGGGATGAGCCCTATATAAAGGACATTATACCCTCTCCCCAACCTCTTTACCCTCTATTGAAGTCCAGAAAACCCTAAGACGCGTTTGTGAGGGATTTGAGTGCATTTAAACCTTGGAGAAGAGATTTTGGAGGAGATCTTGGAGAGATAGGAGGCTTAGAGCAAGGGGCTTTGCTAAGAATCAGATTTCTCTTCTGTTGGGGCTTCCTTTTGAGGTATTACTTCGTTTCTTGGGTTGTTATTCATCTAGATTCATCATCTTAGAATGTGTGGAAAGTTTAGCTTGTGGTATTTCGAGTTTGAAGGTTAGATCTGAGGTTGATACCTTAGATCTGGAATGGAGAAGGTCTAGGGTGCATTAAAGTCCCTGTTCTTGAGTGTTTGGTGAAGTCATCTTGTCCTAAACCCTAGACCTAGAGTGTAAAATGCCTAGATCTCTTTGGATTCACGTAAAGTTTGCCACTTTACGTGATGAATGGGTTGTAGAAGGGTAGATCTACGTTTTGGATCAACTGCATGGCCTGTAAGGCTTCTGTATGGGTTAAGAGATAGTGGTACTCAGCGAGTCACAAGGGTGTACTCGGCGAGTTGCTTGAAGGTGGGCAGGAACTCGATGAGTTGGTTGAAGATAGCCTTGGACTCGACGAGTCTGTTCTTGGACTCGGCGAGTCTGGTCTTGAGGTCTTAGCCTTTCCTGGTTAAGTTAAGAATCGGTGAGTCAAGGGATGACTTAGTGAGTTGAAAAGAGACTTTTGAGTGTTAGGGGACTCGGCGAGTCAGTGGGCTGCCTCGGCGAGTTGAGTCAGCCAAAAGGTTGACTTTGACTTTGACTTTGATCAAGAGTGGACCAGTTGACTTCTAAGGGCATTTTGGTATTTTGTGGTATTTATTGGGTTTAGTCTTTCGGCTTTATCAGGGGTGGAGTTCGCATCGGAGTTTGGAGCAGCGTGATCTTATCTTTTCAGTCAGCAGTTGCAAGGTGAGTTATCCTCACTATATCAACACGGTCTAAGGCACCAAGGTCGGCCCTTTATCGGATTGTAATCCGGGTATTGTTGTTATGTTACTATTTTACTACGTTTGCATCCTGGTAGTTAGGATGGTATATGTTAGAGACCTGGTTAAGTTCGGTATCCTGTTTAGAGTATGTCATGTTATGTGATCTGCTAGATCGGTTTGATTGGATGTGAATTGTTATAAGATTGTATGTTTATGTGCACATGACTGTTTGACCGGGGTTAGGTTGAGGCGGGACCTGCTTTGTGTTGTAGGCCAACATACCCAGGGCGGACCGGTTATTCCGAAGGCCCAGCGAGCGGTCCGGATAGGCTGTAGGCCCCTCGAGGGCGGACCCGACGTGCCGAGGCTCAGAGAGTGGACCAGGCCGACTGAAGGCACGATGCGGGCGGACCAGTTATACTGTAGACTCAGAGAGTGGACCAGGTGGGTTGAAGGCCCGGTGCGGGCGGACCAACCACACTGCAGACTCAAGGGACATGATTAGACTCGAAGGGTGGACCAGGTGGACTGAAGGCTCGATATGGCGGACCAGTCACACAGTAGACCCGATATGCATGGCTGTTTTGTATTTTGGTTGTGATATAACATGTTATGTGTGTGGTATATGTGGTTGGTATTTTGGGGGTATCTCACTAAGCTTTCAGGCTTACAGTTGTGGTTTAATGTTTTTCAGGTTCTTCAGGAGACCGTGGCAACGCAAAAGCGTGATCGTACCGCTCCTCATGTTTATGTTTTATGTTAGGGTTCTGGGAATACTCTGATGATAATGTATTGAAAACCTTTTTGT